ATAGGTTTATAATTTCAGAACACAATTAGTCACTCAACTTTGCCCCAAATTTCAATTTTGTCACTATCTTCAAAACATGTAAAATTTAGTCCCCCAACCTAATATTTAATTTCAGATTGATCACTTTGCCAACTTCTGTTTAGTTGAAGTAACAAAAAATCAAACACGGATGATGGAAGGGGTAACATGGCATATTTTTCTGTTCAAATAAGCTTATAACCAAGAAAAAGAAATGAAAAAAAAAATCATTAAATATTAGCTATTACACAAGAATCCTTAATTTCCCATACAATATATTCATCTATGAAATTTACATCCGATCGTCAGTCAATCGAGCTACAGCATACATAGCTATTTCGTACATAGTTTGCTAAACAAGTTTTTGATGTTACAAAGATTTCGTATCATGGTAGTACGCGTTTTTCGACAATCTTGAGAAGCTGGGCTGAATTCTCCATCCAAAAGAATTTTGTCATCTCTGCATTCGGTTGAGCAAAATGCTTGGAGGTCACTGCACAAAATTATGAAATTCTTTAAAATCAAACTTCATCGTTCATTGGTCCATCAAGAAACATAAAACAGCAGACAGCAAATAGAGATATAAATCTCAACTTGCAAGTTTAACAAGAAACGGGGAAGAAAATTGTACTTACCCATACATGTATCTATCTTCATTCTCAGGAATATTCTTCTTGCACAAGCCACATTTGTCAAGAAAATATTTGATCCGTTCTTCCATTCTATTTTCTACCCTCTCTCGTGGTGGCGAGGACAATGTAAAAATACTTTCCCGAGGCATCTTCGCCGCCTTAACTGGCCGCGCAACCGCCACTGCCGCTTTCTTGACTACCGCTGCATCACTCTTTTTTATCACCGGAGTTTGAATGAGTTTCGAGGCATTGGAATGATGCTTTCTTTCAGTAGACCAAACGGGGTTCTTGAGCGAGTCGACAGAGCCACCGAGGCTTGACGAACGGATTAAACGAGATTGTTTTGAGAACATATTTGAAGGTATACAACGGTGAGAGTCACTCGATAATGAAATTAGTGTTTTAGCTAGCGTTTGTATGTATAAAAAAAAAAAAGATACATTGTGGTTTATAATAGTTCGTTGAAGAGGAAATTTAGGTAACAAATGTCCCAATCGGAAAGGAATTTCCTTTATTTTCTGGCTGCTGCAATTGGTCTTAGTTGATTAGGATTTGTTTGTTTTGTTTTTAATTAGTTAAGACATTGATCTTAATTTATTAAGGAAACGTGTGTCCTAGTTAGATTTAATTTTAATTCCCAATTAATTATTGTTTATTTTCCTTGGAAATAAGTTGCTTTATTCATATTATTATTCCAAATGAACATTACCGTGCCATCTTAGTACAAAGTACCAAGGTATATCGGTTGTTAATTTGTCATTTTGGACATAGTATACATGACACATCAATTCATTTATGAATAAAGAATTTCATCTATCATCTCCTCAACAAACTTTTTACAAAAAAATAAAAATAAATAAATTATTGTATGGGACGAGCCAACCCTTGTAACCTCAAAAAGAACCTGATTTAACGCAATAGCAGATCGAGTGTGGTTGTCCGATGAAATTCTCCCAGCTCTGTTGATTTGAATTACTAAATAATGATTTTAGATTTCAAGAAATTACCTAAATTTGCATTCTTTCCAAAATATCACGCAAGTTACAAAGGAATGGATTTAGCCCCTGTTTGGCCCCCATTATTGTAGATTTTTAGGGGGTTGAAAATTTTTAGAATAGTGATTGATGGGAGATGTGTGGTTAAAAAGTTTTAAATTTGTGTGTATTA